ATTATTCTTAGTACAAGGAGCAGTAGATTTTGAATTACCTGGGTTCAAACTCCAGCTCTATCATTACTGTGTGGTAGTGGATAAGTGACTTAACTTCATTGGACCTCAGTTTCCTTACCTGTAAAACAAGGGGGTTTGACCAGATGATAGCTAGTTATATCTTTCCAGCTCTATGATCCTATGACTGTTAATCTCTCTGAGCCTCTGTTTCCTTAATTGTAGAAAGAGTTGAATTCAGATGATAGATTGTATCCAAAAGGTCTTAGTACAGTTTAATGCCATTGAAGTCTCAAAAAACTGCACTGGGACATTCGAGGTACCATACATACATATATATGTGTGTGTGTGTGTGTGTGTGTGTGTGTGTGTGTGTGTGTGTGTATATATATGTATATATATACATATATATATATACATACATATATATATACATATATATACACACACATAGTACTTTGTAAACTTTAGAGCATTATATAAATGCTGGCTATTATTATCATGAATAATAATAAAAAATTGTTTCTTCCTAGCTTTAATTCTATATGATACATGGGCCAGTAATGTTGACAAGTCTTGTCTGCTGAGCAACTTTGCCAGGGAATGCTCTGGCATCCCAAAAAATGTCTGAAAATCCCTCATCTCTCCACATTCCTTTAGTTGTGAAATTTTGCAATTGAGGATGTTTAACCTGGAGAAGAGATTTAAGGGGGACTTGAGAGTTATCTTTAAGTATTTGAAGCATTGTCTATAGCTAAAGGAATTAACTTATTTGGCTTGACCTTGGAGGGCACAGCTAGAAGCTGTTGTTTATTCTTCCTTCTGGAAGAGAACTGTGACATCAGGAAGATGATGCCATGACTTGCAAGTGGATTGGATTTTAAGTGAGGAAGGGCTGTGCAAAGTCACCAGCCTCACTTTCTCCTCTGGAGCCACCTGGGCCCAGTGGCCAGATATACATCAGGACGACTGGAGATGGTCCAGGTTGCGGTGGGAGATCTTGACCTTCTGAGTTAAAGTCTTTCCCACTCTTAGTTTGACTGGGGCAATGCCCATTCAGTGATTAGGGCTAGGTATGAAATGAGGCAGAGAAATGGCCTCTTTTACTTAGTTAAAAAAAAAATCCAACCTGGGAGGGGAAGATCCTCAGGGTTTCTGTCCAAAACAGAAACAATTGCTATTTACATCTACTGTGAGTCATCAGGGCCCAAACAATGTCGGAGTAGGGTTTGGGCTGGAACCTATTGTTGGTTCATTTAAGGACAACACATGGGAATTCTCATCACTTCCCCCCTGGCTACTTTCCTGGACTTCAGGATGTCTAGAAAATCATCATTCTGCAAGATAAAAACACCTCTGAAACTCTCACCTCCTCAGCTCATTTCCCACTTTTGCTGCAGGATTTGCCCTGTACCTCTGGGTAATCTCCTCTCTTCTTCGTCAGTTTCTTTTTATGTTCTCTTTCCCCACTAGATTGTGAGCTCTGTGAGGGCTAGGACTTGTCTGATGCCTTTCTTAATATCTCCAGCACTTAGAACAGTGCTTGGCACATAGCGAGCACTTAACAAATGTTTATTAACTCTATCATATGATCAATTTTTATAAAAATGTTAGGATGCTGAGAAAGAGGTGCATATTTCAGTTACTATTTAATAATTGCAAAAGAATAAGGAGGGCAGAGCTAGAAGCAATGAGTATGTAAAAGCATATTTAAAAGCTCCTTTTTAATAAAATTGAAAATATTAAGAAATATTTCTCTGTTTGAAGGTGGGTTAAATTGAGGATAAAAGGTCTTTCTCAGGGTGGTAACCAAAACTTAGAACAAAAGAGTCTTCCTCTCCCCTACCCTGCCACCCCTGAAATAGTTGATTCGTCTAAAGGCAGTCTCCTCTTCCCCATCTCCTGAAGGGATGGTGCCCAGCCTTCTCCATTCGGGAAGGAGGATGGTCTCAGGGAGGAACTGAATAGTGACTATTGTTTTGGACTGTTAACAACTAAACTTTATTTTAACATATTATGATCTTTACCATGTCCAAGATTTCTCTAAGTATTAACTCAAAGTGTCTTGGGAAGAGAGAGATACCTGCCAGGAAGCATGGGAGAACAATGCCAATTTGAATGTCTCTAAGCCAGAAATGGCTTGGATTGTTAAAAGAAATAAAAGTTTCTGGCAGACTTGTGCCTGAAACACAGAAATAATAATATAACAACAACTAGCATATATATAACGTTAAGGTTTACAAAGTGTTTTACATATATTATCTCATTTGACTCTCACAACAACTCTGTGAGGTAGGTGCTATTATTATCCCCCTTTTATAGATGAGGTAACTGAGGCAAGCAGAGGTTAAGTGACTTGCCCAGGGTTATACAGCTAGTAACTGTGCAAGGGAGGATTTAAAGTCAGGTCTTCCTGACTGTAGGCCCACTGCTCTTTCCACTGTCACTTAATTAGTATGGTGTGTGTGTATACATGTGTGTATATATATGTATGTATATACACACACACACACATATTTCTTCTTTGGTGGGTGTAAGGTTTAAAGAGACAGATTTAGCCTTGGCATCAGGAAAAATTTCTTGTTTAGTCATTTTTCAGTCATGTCTAACTCTTTGTGATCCCATTTGGGGTTTTCTTGGAAAAGATACTGGAGTGGTTTGCCATTTCCTTCTCCAGCTCATTTTACAGGTGAGGGAACCGAGGCAAACAGAGTTAAGTGACTTGTCTGGGGTCACATAGCTAGCAAGTGTCTGAGGCCAGATTTGAACTCAGGAAGATGAATCTTTCTGACTGCAAGCCCCAGTGCCCTATTCACTGTGCCACCTAGCTATCCTCAAAAATTGCCCTTAATAATTGCAAATGTAGAAAAGGCTGTCTGAGTGAATAGGAACCTCTTAGATAGAGATCTTTAAGCAAAAGATTGGATAATTGCTTGTCAGACATGTAGAAGGGCTCTCTTTTCAGATATAAGTTACACTAGATGGTTGCTGAGATTCTGTGAAGTCCCAAATGAAGGTCTGACCATCCATCCTTTCAGAAAGGCTTACCTTACACACTGCCTTTTATCGGCACAGAACTGGCATTAGCTTTGGACTAACTCTTTTCTCTCCTCTTCCCCCTTCGGAAGACAGCTACTTTAGTCTCAAACAGCTTACAATTAAATTAATTAATTTAATAAAATTTAATAATATATTAATTAAATCAATCAATTAATTAATTACATTAATTAAACTGGCAATGAGCTTATGTCTGACAACTACTCTTAGTTTTAGCCTTAGTTTTGGCCTTTATCATTCTCAGTAGAGCAAATTTGTTTTGCAGAAAAGGTGATAGGCACCAAAGTCCTATGATGCTCAGATGAAAATAGTGATCTCAGAGAAAGTTCACTCACACTCACACACACACACACACACACACACACACACACACACTGCTATGATGGCACTTCAGTAAAAAAATTTGTATCTGTTTCCTTCTCTACCACTGTGCTTCCTTTCCCCCATTCCTTGCCCTGCAGATTGACCATGACATTGTGTTGAATGCCACAGAGTATCCAAAGTTTCTACACTGGAACACATTTAACCATGTACTATCATTTATAGAATACACATATATACATATACATACATATTATTCTATCTATCTATCTTTGTGTGTATACAGGAATGATACAGGTTTAGACCACAGGGGTGGGGAACCTGCAGCCTCGAGGCCACATGTGGCCCTCTAGGTCCTCAAGTGTGGCCCTGTGTGGCCTTGAGGTTGAAGGTTCCCCATCCCTGGTTTAGAGTAAGAAGACATAAGTTTAAATCCTGTTCTGTCCTTTGGTTTCCCTCATCATACAGTATAAGCTTCTATAAGAAGCCCTCCTGATCCCCCTAGTTGCTGCTGCGGTCCCTTCCCAATCTAAGGCCTTCCTGGCTCAGAGTGAATGCAAATAGTACCTGTTTCTCTTTTGGCCAGCAACCCTGAGGGTCTTCCCCTCCCAGTTTGATTTTTTTTTTTTTAATTAAAGGGGCTATCCTTTGACTCACTTCTTAAGGAGGCCGATTCACCGAATGGGTATTGCCTCACTCAAAGTGAGAACCTGGAAAGACGTTAGCTTAAAAAGGCCAAGGTCTCCCATTGCATCCTGGGCCATCTCCAGTCATCCTGATTGATATCTGGCTGCTGGACCCAGATGGCTCTGGAGGAGAATGTGAGGCTGGTGACTGCACAGCCCTCCCTCACTCAAAGTCAATTGCAAGTCATGTCCTCATCTCCTTGATGTCAAAGTCCTCTTCGAGAATGAAGGACAAACCATAATTTGCGTTCATTTATACCTTCCAAGAGGCAGTTTGATGCAGTACATAGAGAACTAGCCTTGGAGCCAGGTTCAAGTTCTGCCTAACATGTACTGGCTGTGTGACCATGGGCTAGTAACTTAATTTCTTGGGGCTCTAGTAAATTTTGTAAGACTAAGTTGCAGATAAGGTTCTAACCTGCATTGGTAGAAGGGGCTTTCCTCATGTAGGAATTCCCTATACTAATGAAATCACAGGTTCAGTTTCTCTTGCTATGGATACACTTATATATGCCCATATTTTCTTCTCCAATAGAATGTAAGCTTGCTGAGAGGATTTTCTCCTTTTGTATCTTCTACACAATGGCTGGCATAAAGTGCTTAATTAACAAATGCTTGTTGGGTGAGCCTCCTGGACCCAATCCATGTAAGCCCAGGATTTGGAATGCTGGACCCCTGCCCACCAGGATAATCATATACCTGAGTGACCTTGGGTATGTGATTTCCCTTCTCCAAACTCATCAACTCTAAAATCTAACAATCTTACACTTTCCAGTCATGGTTCTACACCTTTGCAAGCCGGATTTGGCCTGCTTATTTCCCGATCTATCATATTTCGTTGCTTACCCTCAAATCTCCTCTTCTGCCCAGGACGCCTCTTCCCCCTCCCCAGCCCCAGGAAGCCTGCCCTGTATGAAAAAACGTAAGACCAGGACAAACCTCAATTTCCTTGACACTCTTCGCAGATAATATGAGGAGGATGCCCATGCTGAGAAAGAATACTCCAGTGGTAAAGAAGCCAGGGAGGACTGCCCTGGCCGTGAGGGAAGGTCTCCAGGCTGGCAACTGTTGCTGTTGAAACGCAGTATTGTCTGGCATTCTGGATGGCAGACCCTGGCAGTTGTTGCTTTTCATCTCTTGGCTCTCTTGGTGGCTCATGGGCTTTCTGGGCATGTAAAATGTTACTAAAGTACTAATAGTAATTAAAAAATTCTTAATAATCCCAGGGCCTTTTCTTGCTCCAGGTAGTAGGGCATCATGTTTATGAAAACTTGGCTGTTTCCTCAAAGTAGTCATTAAATACATCTGTGGTTTAGTTTAGAGTCACGGATGGAGGGTATCTGTCTATTTTCACTCAGCTTGGGTTATGGGTAAATGAACTTTACTCTGATTCAAAAATGGCTAATACCCTTCTGGCCTTTGCTGCAAAAGTCTCAGCTGGGGTCTTGTACTGAATCTCTAAGACCTATTTTGGTGGTGGTGGTGGTGGTGGTGGTGGTAGTAAAGAACACCCAGTGAAATGTTTCCACAAAACAGTGATTTCTTACACCCTGCCTGGATGACCTGGTAGATGCATGACTAATCTAAGGGCAATAATTTCTGAAAAGAGAAAAAATCCCATCAACAATACTCAATTGATCCTGAAGAGCTTCTTTAAATCTTAAGTAGTGAATACAGTATGTTTTCTCCCCAAATGGGACTATAGCCAAACACAGGGGCACAGTGGGGAGAAGGTCATTGTCTTACAGTAATTATAGTTATGTAGAAGAAGGGCTAAGGCTTGTTCTACTAGGCCCCTTCAGAGGTCCTGGGGCCCAATGGGGTGTCAATTATAGAGGCAGATTTACGTTCAATATAAGAAAGTATCTTAATAATTAGTACTATTCAAAAGCAGTGTAGGCTGCTTTCCTAGGTTCTAAGTTCTCTGTCACTAGAGATATTCAAATAGAAATAAGAATATTGGAGAGTGGATTCATGCTATAGGTAGGGATTTTAGCAGTTCTCTAAGTGTGGTATGGTGACCCCTGGGGGTCCTCTAGATCCTTTTAGGGAATCCACAAGATCAAAATGATTTTCATGATAGTAAGATGGTTTAATTTCTAATATGGCAAATATCAAAAGATATTACCCAGGTAAACAAAAGTCTTTTAAGATTTTCAGTCTGGGGTCCTGTCCTTGCCTGTTCAAGTTTGAGAATGATTGGATTAGAAGACCTTTTAATTCCTCTCCAACTCTAAGACTGTATGGTTATAGACTAATTTGGAAAATGACTATATGATTAGACAATCCTAGATCATCTACAGTAATGGAGGAAAGGGTCAAGGAAAACAGATAATTCCAAACTTCAACAGTTTTGCTTCCCCACCCCCAACCCACTAAACTTTTATCAGGATCATTTACAACTAGCAAAGTAGAAAAAATTTTTAGTTTCTTTCCTAGGAGACAGAAAACTGGTCTCAAAGTTAGGAAGTCCCACTTTTGACAAGGTCTGGCCCAGGGGTGGGGAACCTGTGGCCTAGAGGCCACGTGTGGCCCTCTGAATTCAGACTTCACAGAACAAATCTCCTTAATAAAAGGAGTTGTTCTGTAAAACTTGGACTTAGTGAAAAGGCTGCACCCAAGGACTTAGAAGGCCACAGGTTCCCTACTCATGGTCTGTCCCATTCAACGTTTCAATATTTGGGATAAGTCCAGTTTCAGAGAAGGTGCTGACCAGCATTGTTCGACGAAATTTCTCACCTGGAATTTGATGCACCAATGAAATCACAGGTCCAGTCGCTATCCTTATTGTTAATCCATCTCCCTTCCCTCTCCCTCCTCTGTCTCACCCAGGCTGGAAGTTAAGTAGCCACTGGAGGCCAATCCCAATAACAGTCTGGATAGAAGCTCTAACTTGCTCCATTTTTCATCCTGGGCCAGTTCACCCCTCCTCAGGCAGCCTGGTGGCTCCCTACTTCTGGGGGTTCACCATTTTGGTGCTGGACTCAGTTTGGATACCCTTTTGGCTTTAGCCCAATTGCAGCTCAGAAATTCCTAAGTCAAGTGGTCCACCAGGTTCAGCCTTACCAGCAGTATGGATTTAGGTGTGGGCTACTATGCCTTGCTCCTTGCAGTTTCTGCTGAAGGAACGAGGTCACAAGGCAGTAAGAATAAAAGAAGGGTCCGGCTAGTTCATATGCTGAATTATCAATCCCTGAATTAGAGAAAGCTGACTAGAAGGGCTAGTTTGTCAGATTTTGTGTATTTGTGAAAAATTCCCATTAAATCCCCAATTAGAGAGGAAATATTTATCTCCTCTTTGAATTTATAATGTGGAAGCTAGAAAGGAGAACTCAGAGCTTTTGGCTTCAGGTGGCTAGACAGCTTTATTGTTCTCCCATTTCCCAAACCTACTTCTTTCACCCAAGAAGCCAGACTGTGCTCACTTTGCTTTCAGGTAATATAGTTATTAGTTATAAACACCTCGTTTAAGAGAAGTAAAAGTGGAGGCGTAATACTTACGGCAGGAACTTGCTGTTTTGAGGACTTAACGGCCCTGCTGCGAATGGAACAAGGCCGCCAAGGACCACACCACGAAAGAGGCATGCCATGCAGACCAGCTGACTTGGAAGGGACTGGAAAAATACGCATGGGGGTTGGCGCTGGGCTGGCAAAGAATGCTCACAATCCACTTCCATTGTTTGTTTTGCTAAAGCAAATACGGTCAAGAGATTGGGTGTGAAAGGCGGTAAAAAACTCTGTGACTAGTTTAAACACAGAGGTGGTGCATTACATTTAGGCATGGTGGGGGGCATTTTGGGGAATCTGATTCATGCTACTTTGTGGGCTTTCCTTACTCAGCAAAAGACCTGCAAGGTAGTCATTAAAATAGTGTAACCATAAAAAACTCTGGCACACAGCTGGTACTTCATAAATGCTTGTTGTCTTGACTTTTTTGGTGTGGCAGGGCCTTGGCAGATCGTGATGTGGGAAACGACCTTCTACTGAAACGTACCCTTCCCTGAAGCAGCTGGGTGACTTATTTGCAACTTGCAATGCTAGACAGTTGCCTGAGACAACTGAGAGGTTAAATGACTTGTCCATGGTGATACAGATAGTATGTGTTAGGAGAAGAACTTGGACCTAGGTTCTCCTTCCTCCAAGGTCAGCCATGAGAATCAGAGCTGTCCAGAGGCAGGATGGCCTGCCTTAGGAGGCAGTGGGTTTCCTCGTACTGGAAGTCTTTAAATGGAGTCTGAATGACTAACCACTCATTAGGGATACTGATCTGGGTTAGATGTGATGACCACTGAGCGTACTTCAGTCTCCCGCAATGTGACGCGTTCTTGGGTGATAGTTTATTGCCTACATGGTGGTCCTTCTTTTTTAAATTTCTAAGTTCTTCTTCCAAGCCGATGATCTGATGTATTGCTTTTCTTCACTCATCAGATGGGATAACGCATGAAGAATTTTATATGGTACTTACTTTAAAAAACAGTTCACAGATATTTCATTTACCCTAAAAGGTTTTGTTTGGTTTTGATTTTTAATATGTCTTAGGAGAAGTCCCACAAGATAGGAAAGCCACAGTTGATGAGTTGTTTCCTACTCACAACTTCTTCAGTCTGCTAAGTAGATTCACACCAGGTCTATAAACGTGCTTTCTATTGTTTTAGCCTTTTTGAGTGCTCCCATTCTTTCCTATGTAACCTTGATGGGGTGACCTGTCCTAGCTGTGGCAGGTTGATACGTCTCAAGTGGGCACACAATGCTACTGGACACTTCAGAGAAGTGGCCTCTAAGTCTTTGCCTTTGGTTCTCCCTTACCATTGTACCAAGTGCCTTCTTTAGGGTGACCAGATATCCCAGATGCATGGGCAAGTCTCCCATTTCATTGCCTTGTTGTGTTTTAACTCTGTTGAAATTCACATGGGAATCTGGCAGTAAATGCAGGCATGCCCCACTCTCCCACCTCCATTTCCTAGGTCTGGCAAATCAATGCTTGAAAAGTCAGTCAGCCTGAATACAGTCAGCAAAACCCACACCTTCTTCCCCTCCTCAGTGGTGTTACAGGTTGCACATGGATATTTGGCAGTCTTGGACTTTTACTATTTTCTTACCTGATGATTTCCTGATGCTCTTCTCTTGGTTAGCCAAAGACACTGTATAACATCAACAAACTACTCCTGTAATGTTCAGACGTTGGTGAGGGGGAGGTCGAATGCTCTGCCTTTTTTCTTTAGAGGCAAAGAGCATCCTTCTGTTTATGGGCACTTTATTAGCGGCTCCTGAAGCATTCTGTACCTAGGAAACCCAGGCCTTCTTCAAGGTTTAGCCCAATCGTCACCTTACATGCAACTCCTTTCCTGATCCCCACAAGTGTTGGTGTTTCTCCATCAACTTTCTTAAATTGTTTAGCATTACTTGCGTTGTGGTTAAAAAGGACCCACAGTTCAGAATTTAGGGTATAGGCATGTAAAATGGGATATCACAATCCACTGTAGAGAGAGGTCGTTCAGTTCACAGAGGAATATCTCTGTCAAGTGAACGCTAATTAGAAATAATTTCCAGCCAGTGCATGTAGAGGAAGATGAAGAAGTAAACATGAAAGATAGTTATGCTACACTTTAATTTGTTGCTAAATTCAAGGTAACAGTGCTCCATACAAGGAGAAAGAGAGAAGATACAGGACACAGCTCTCCTATGTAGGTTTGCAACACCTTCAAACCTTGTTTGCCACTGTGGGACACTGATGATGACAAGGCCACATTATGAAAATCTTAGCAATGTACTGGGGTAGGAATAAACCCTAAACACAGAGAAACAGACTTGCCTGCTCAATTTACACTGAAAAGAAGAAGCCTTGTTCAAAGATGGAGCCACTTATGTCAAGAGAGGAAAGATACACTGGGCCCCTTTTTGCTTCTAATAAGTGTTCACTGGACCAATGAACCAATAGCTTGTATGAATTTTTATTCTATTTTGTACATGGGTTTTTCGCTATTAATTGCGGTATCTCAGTTGTCTGACACAATATAAATCCTATTCCCCTCTTTCTTTGTCATGTTCCTAACACTTGTTGACCCATGAGCAAGCTGCCACCTTGTTTGGTAACACCTAGGACAACTTTACCAGAACTCAGGCCAATTAAAAAAAAATTACGCCAAGATTCAAATATAGTATTTTTCAGGCTGTTGATAACATCTGTTTATATTATGAGGGCTATAGTGTTATCTTTTATGAGTGTGAAGAGTATCTTATACATTTACTATTTCCCATAAATAACAAAAATAATATTGTCTAATACTAGACAGCATGTAGAGTCTCCATGAAACTAGTAAAAATGACACAAACTTGTTCTACTTTATTATAAAGAGAAGGAAGCTGGCAAAAAAGGCAATAAGATTCAGGCCTGCTAAAGCATCCCAAAAGGCAAACATCCATCTTGTGTGACTCATTTGGCAGTGTGTGGTTGCATTAAATACAGATGCAAATTCTATCCTTATGTCAAAACTTGAATCTTCATTAGAATTTGGAAATTAAAAAAGTCCCAGCTTCAAAGACTCAGCTCTACACAGGCTTATTAGTCTCATTTCCAGCAGTTCAAGAACTTCTTTTCTTATCTGAACAAGAGAAAAACAAATGATCAACAATGGTGAAAAAAGGAAAAGTTCTCAATTTAAAAAAGAGACATTTTGTTGAATTAATTCAATGCTCTTGACTCTTGCTATTTACTCAGCTGTTATTAGAGACGTGGCCAGAGAAGGATTAGATCCAAACCCACATCTGATCTGGAGGTGAAATGTTTACGCAAGTAAATGAAAAGGTCCTGCAGAAAGCATCAGTTCCATAAAATGGCCTCTTGTTTGTATCTGTTTTAAAATATTCCATCTCAATGGATTTCCAAGGTTCTGTCTTCTGGACTCTTTACAGCCTTGTGTTCATTGTTAAAAATGAATTAATATTCCAATATGACTATTTTTTATTACCATCACTGATATTGCTAACAACCAACAATAAAGCAGTATCCAATAACTAGCCACAAGATAAAAATAAAATTATCCTATTTCTAATCAGGCTACTGGCGGCAGTGTGCTGTTGTGGCTAGAGGATTGACCTTGGAGCTAGGAAAACCAGACTGACTCTGATGCATCTTAGCCGTGTGACCACGGGTAAGTCCCTTTTAACTTCTTGGTACTCTGGCAACTAAGACGATAAATTACAGACAGTTGCCAGTTGGTGGCAGAGGAAAGTGTTGGAGGAGGCAGGGGAGTGGAATGTATGAACTAGATAAAATCCTAGGTCTGGTCAAAAATAAGCAAAATAAAAAAATAAAATGGTGGCTTATCAGCTAATCACTCAGGTTCAACCTGACCAATCAAACTTATCATTTTAGACAAATAATTCAATTATATTTAGCTTATGTAATTCTAGAGACATTGGTTTAAGCAGTTAGCAAATTTTTCTAGGATGACTGTTAACTGTATAATTTCTGGTTATAACTGGGCACCTTGCTGTGTTCTGGGCTTAGTGCACATTCACTCTAATTTCCTATAACTTTTGAATCTCCATTGATAGTACTGAACCATAATCAGTAATCTTCAGAATGATGGCCATGAGGCACTGGACAAGATCTTCATTTAGCAAAATAAGTCGGTATGGCGTGATGGAAAAAACAATGGCTGAGGAGTCAGAAGATTGCCACATGAGTCTGGGTTCTGCCACACGAGTTGCTATGAATTGTGCGAATTTGGACAAATCATTTGTTTCATTCTAGCCACGCTGGGCAGTTGGGGGCACAGCAGATAGTGTGCTTGGCCTGGAGTCAGGAAGAACTGAGTTCAAATCTGGCCTTAGCCACTTATTAGCTGTGGTGATCCAGGGCAAGTCACTTAACCCTGTTGACTTTGGTTTCCTCATATGTAAAATGAGCTGGAGAAGGAAATGGAAAATTACTCCAGTATCTTTGTCAAGAAAATCCCAGACGGGATCACAGAGAGTCAGACATGATGGAAATGACTCAGCAACAACTAGCCACACTGTTGTGTTTTTACGGCAAAGGAAACTGAGACACAGGAGCTAAATGGCCTTCCCATGGTCACATCGAAACCCTCAGGAGACTGTTTTGAGGATGAAAAGAGATAATGCACATAATGTGCTCTTGTAAGCATAATGTGTCATATAGAAAGCAACTTTTATCCTTAAAGTTTGTCAGCTACTTTAAAATATTCACTAAGTCTGAAAGATTAGCCCCAATTACCTTCCTACATTACTCTGATATTAGATTTCTCCAAGACACTTGGTAATAATAGCTAGTATTTAAATTAATGCTTTAAATTTTGCAAAGCAAAATTTACATATGTTAAGTCATTTGAGCCTCACCACAGCCCTGTGAAGTAGGTGCTATTATTTATCCCCATTTTATAGACAGGAAACAGTCTAACCTTAATCAGGATGTTAAGCGACTTGTTCAAAGTCACACAGCTAATATGTGTCTGAGGCAGGAGTAGAAATCAGGTTGTCCAGACTCCAAGTCCAACACCCTACCCACTGTGCCTCCCTGCCTATAGCCAAGCTTTCCCCCTCAGATAAGCAACACATGAATTGCTAATTTGATTTAAAAGAAAAAAAAAACAAATAAAATTAATAGCACTAAAAGGGCAGGATTAAAAGGACCCACAGAAAAAGGAGCACAGTTGAGGGGTGGGAGGCTTATTGAGTAAGCCATACGTTGAGTCCTTTGGGATTTTCTGTCTCTTACAAGTGAAAGCATGAGAATCCATATAACAGAATAGATGCTTAAGAATGTTTAAGAAGTGGAAAACATGTTGTCAGAAGGGTTAACTTCTCCACAGTAAGCTACCTCAGCGTCAAATGCCAGAAACCAATTTGAGAGCCAGAATGTGCTGGCTCCCAAAGTCATGGGCTTTATGACCATGTTTGAACTCAAGTTCAAATTGCAAGAAAATGTGATTAAAAACAATTGCTGGTTACATGGTACCTCGGGAATGTCCATCAGTCTCCTCAACTTCTGATCTCTCCAGTTCCAATCAAAAACCAGATACTTCAGGGAGTTCAAGTTAAGGACATCTGAAAGGGTCAGAGAGATGTGTTCTAGTGAAGACCACATGGCACGAGTTTATCAAAGCGACTTTTCCCTCCTCCCCCTCTTTGGGTAGCTTTTACAGTCACTGCTGTCTTCTTCCCAGGCAACTAATCTCAGGACATTAAGTGCTACCTTGGCCTGGTGAAAAACAAATGCAACCACTCTTCAGATTTCCTCACCCCCTAATCCTGCCCCTGATTCTGAGGAAAAACACAAGGGCAGAGAAACTATTGTTGTTAAGCTCATGTCCTGGCAGGAAATCCACCCCAAGCCACCATTACGTGAAACCACAGAGGCTCAGTTTTCATCTCTGGCAACAATTTGGTAAGAAGCATCCTGTGGTTTGGGGTTAATGTCCCTTCAGGGGAGATGTGTCAGACTCATCTGTGGGACCCTTGTAGAGGAAAATCAGATGGAAGCCCGAGTGACTGAGTTGTGTGGTGAGCGTTCAGCATCTGATATAATTGTTAGGGCAGAAGGGGAAATCATGATGAAGGGCTCTGTTTAGAACTGTAAAAAAAAATTTAACATCAGTAAGTCAATTACCCACTCTGTACCTCAATTTCCCCATGTAAGAGGTAGAAAATGTAATTCTCTTTAGGGATGATCACTTAGTCTAACATCTTCACTCTCTCCTCCAATTTTACTGCTGAGGAAATAGAGGCCCAGAGAGGCTGACTTGTCTAAGAGTCACACTGTTGTTCATCTTTCGTTTTTGAAGAGGACCAATGACATCACAGGCGATGTCCTGACTTGTGCATGAACTAAATGTAAGTGAGGCTGAGCTGCACAAAACTGTCAGCCTCACTCTCTTTTCCTGAGTCACAGAAGTCCAGGGCAGGAGAAAAGTCAAGATGTCTGGCCTTTAAACGTTTGATAGAATTCACTTGTAAATCTGTCTGGTCATGGTGTGTTTTTCTTAGGAAGCACATTTATGGCCTGTTCAATTTTATTTTTCCAAAATAAGATCTATTTAGATACCCTATTTCCTATTTTGCTAATCTAGGCAGTTTATATTTTTTGTAAATATCCTTCCATTTCACTTAAATTGTTAAATTTATTGTCATGTAACTGGGCAAAGTAACTTCTTATAACTGCTTTGATTTCATCTTTGTTAGTGGTATATTCACTCTTTTCATTTTTAATACTAGCAATTTGGTTTTCTTCTCTCTCTTTTTTTTTTCCTTCTCTCTTTTTTAAAAATCATATTAGTCAATGGTTTACCTATTTCATTGGTTTTTTCATAAAACCAACTCCTAGTTTTATTTATTAATTCAACAGTTTTATTACACCCAATTTTATTAATCTCTAGGAAGGGGGAGAAGGGAAGAAAAATGGGTAGAAAAGACAGTTACATGATAACTTTATATTATATATGTTTTTATATATATACACACACACATATATTTTTTCATTTTACATCATTTATTTAGGTAGTAGAGGGAAATAAAGTTACCCTCATCATTAAGAGCAATGCTAGGCCACATTTGGAAAGCAATCTGGAATTATGCCCAAAGAGTTATTAAACCTATGAGCCTGCAATACTATAACTTTATTGTATATTTAAAAGGAATAGCAAGTTGTATATAGTGAATTTACAGTTTTGTGTGCAATTTCTTTTTTTTCTATTCTGTTGTGTTTTGAAAATGCTTGTTTTACTTCTTAAGTTCAGGAAAGAAAAAGACTGGTGATGACCCAGGATGCAACGGATGACCTTGGTGTCTCTGATGCCTGACCAAGCTCTAAGTACTGCATAGCACCTGCTTCAGCTGCTTTCATGGCTGTTGGAAGAAATTGTTGTCATCCGCCCATTCCACCAGGGTGTTGAGTGGGGGGGGATTGCGAGTGACGGAAGTCTTCACATGCTTGGGGGCATCCCTCTAAGTCACTGACAGGTTTGAGGCCTGTCAGTTATCCTCAACTTTTTTTAGCCTGTCTACTGAGACAGTTTTACTGGGGTGTGGCCGCTGTGCATGCTACAGCTTTTTGGAGCCACAGGTGAGAGCTAGGTGACAAGTGGACACCAAACGTGAACAAGCAGCCCTGAAAAGGGCTCCACAGCCCTCACACCAGACATGATAATTCTCCCTGCACATCCCATATGCCCCAAGAGTCACACAGTGAGTATATGGCAGAGCTGCCTCTTACCTCTTGTGCTCTTTCCACTATGTTATGTTGGCTCCTCATTTGCCTAGACCCAGAAATGAAGTCTGAAGCCTTCGCCTACTCTTCTATCCAATATTGCTAGTCAATACAAGCCGGTGGGATAGTGGGGAGGAGGGGGGAACTCCTCAAATTTTCTGGAGAAGTGGGTCTGGATGTCAGCTCCACCACAACCTAGCTGAGGAACCTTGGGCAAGCCAATTAACTTCACTATATTCATTGAAGGGGCTTTATGGATCTGGGGGCCCTGGGTAAGTCAATTAATGTCTCTAAGCCTCCTTTTCCTTATTCTGTAAACCTTAAAGCACTATATGAATGTGTTGTTATTCATCATTTTCATAGGAAACATCAGTGATAACTAGTTTCCTGGATGGAAAGAAAAAGATTGCCTCTGACTTCTGGGCAGGCCTCTAATCTCATCTTGCATCTCATATAAAGACAGAAAACCCTAACTGCATTCTGAAGCTTTCATCAACTCCCGTCTCTGCTTAAAAACCCCGAATGGCCCTTTGATACCTTTGATGGCCTTCAAGGTACTTTTTATCAACTTATTTCTCACCACCCCTCTACATAAGGCCTCTACTCCTGCCAGACTGATGTATTCATCACTCCCCAAGACACATTTCCCAACCCTGTACTTTTACTTCAAACTATGCCTTGGAGTATTCTCCTTTCTCCTCCCCACCTCTCTGAATCCCTTCTGTATTTCAAGGTCTAGCTCCTGTGACACCGCCTTTGTGAAACCCTCTCAGATCACCTCAGCCCATAGAGATCTCTCACACTTCTGAACTCCCAGAGTACTTCTGCTAACATCTTGCACTTACATTTTTCTGCCCTGGATTTTACTTATTTTTTATGCATAAGTATCTTGTCTTTATGAATATAACTTTCTTGACAGCAGGGATTTTGTTTTAAATTTTCTTGATTATCCTAATGTGTAGGAAAAGGAGTAATTATGCCCAATAAATGTTGATTGACATCTCTTTGGACAAAGATCCTTTTGGTCTACAGAGAACCCAAAAAACTATATTTCCGTTCCAATAGGTTTTATCCTTCAGTCCTCTATCAGAAGAGGAACCAATCAATGGTACTATGACAGTAAGACAGTCACATTTGACTTTTAGAACTAATCCAGGTTAAGTGGGTCCATTTTCTCACAGATTCCATTAGTCAACAGTTAGCTAGGAGGCTCTGGGACACCCTCAGGCCCTCAGGGTTCCTACCTTGCTGAATGAGTGCTTTGATCCTTCCAGGAGTTCCCACTCCCAGATGCACCACACCTTTCTCCAACAACTTTACCTGCTCCTGAATCTGCTCCAAGACAGAAAAGGGGTGTCAGAAAGAAAGAACTTTCAGAATAGGCAAGTTTAGAGAAGTTTCTCTCAAAGATAAAGGGTGGAAAAAGGGTGCAAGAACAGCCATTGCCAGAATCAGCCTCTATTATAGCATATGGTGACTCCAGGAACACAATCTCATGAAAACAGGCATGTGAGCATGCAACCCCGGCAAAAGTGAATGAAAGCAGTCTTATGGTTAATAATAATAATAACAACAACAACAATAACTAGCATTTATGTAGTACTTTACAATTCATGAAGTGCTCTACATGTATCAGATCATTCGAACCTCACAAAACCCCTGTGAGTTAGGTGCTCTTATCCCCATTTTACAGATGAGGTCAAGATGTTAAATGGTTTGCCCAGCATAACACAGCTAGAGGTTGCCTGAAGGAGGATTCAAACTCAGGTCTTCCTGGCTGAAGTCTCCGCACCATCTCACTGATCCATTGATACTGGCTTCCTTGCTGTTCCTTGAACAGGAAGACACTCGATCCCCCAACTCAGGGCATGTTCACTGGCTCTCCCCTCATGGCATTCCTGCTCCTCCCTGATTCTAGTGCCTTCCTATTTAACCTGCCTACAGGTTTTCTGTATATGGTTTTTTTGCCAGTTGCTCCCCCATTAGATTGAGAGCCCCTGAGAGCAGGGACTATTTTTTAAATAATTTTCTTTGTATCCCCATCACTTAGTACAGTGCCTAGCACATAGTAGGTGGTTAACAAATGTTTATTGATTGATCGACTAACCCAATGGCTTCCTGAAGTCTATTAATAAGAGTGAAAGAGGAGAGTGTAAAAGCCGGCTTGAAGCATAACATCAAAAAAACTAAGATCTTGGCAACTGGTCCCAACACTTCCTGGCAAACAGAGGGAGAAGAAATGGAAGCAGCATCAGATTTTCTATTCTTGGGCTCGAAGATCACTGCAGACCATGAAATTAAGACACTTGCTCCTTGGAAGGAAAAACACGGCAAATCTGCGCAGCACACTAAAAAGCAGAGACATCACCCTGTCAACAAAGGTCCATATAGGTAAACCTATTGTTTTTCCAGTAGCAATGTATGGCTGTGAGGTTTGGACTATAAGGAAAACTGAGTGCCACAGAATCAACGCTTGCGCTGGTGAAGACTTTTGAGAGTCCCTTGGACAGTAAGGAGATCAAATTGGTCAGTACTTAAAAAAAAATTCATTTGGGCTATTTACTGGAAGGTCAAATATTGAAGCCGAAATACTGTGGTTATATAATGAGAAGACAGGACTCATTGGAAAAGACCCTGATGTTGGGAAAGATTGAAGGCAAAAGGAAAAGGCGATGGCAGAGGACAAGAGTGTCTTGGAAGCAACAAACATGAGCTTGACAGACTTTGAGAGATAGCGGAGGACAGAAGGGCCTGGCATGCTATGGTCCATGGGGTCATGAGAAGTTAGGCATGACTGAACAACAAAAATTAATGAGAAGAGGTTGGGGGAAAAAAACTGAAGAGCACCATATATGTCCACCCTCACTGCTATCACAGGATTCTCTCCACATCAGCTACTTTCCTTAGTACACCACAGAATCTCTCCTCACCTTTATGTGTTTTGCAAATAACTTCAGCACTTTGCAGTCTCCTTTGAATGCTGCCATTGATCTAGTGGAAAAACAAACAAGCAAAAAATGAATGGAAGAGGAAGGCAATTCCCTAATCAGTGATGAGCTGATAAATGTTTAACAATTGACTCTCCTAGAAAAAAAAACCACAGGCAGGATACACGTTAACATTTTCTTCATCATTTTCTTAAGTCTAGACAGCCAAACACAATAATAAACCAAGTCCTGATTTGTAGTTTATCGATTTCCAAGGTATAAATGCTCACACTGGAAATTTAACAATCGTCTCCAGCACACCCCTGTCCACAGTCCAGATAAAGACTTGAGTTTCAAGTTTTTTCTTAAATACAGCATTTTGCAGGACAGTTAATACATTTGGGGGATGCTGCTACTGGGGGCCGTTAGCATCCACATTCTATGCTATGGCGGAATCAGAGTTGGAAGGGACTTCAGAGGTATATATAACTCCTAAAGGAAGAAGACTCTATCACATCATCCAACATTTATTTATTTATTTAGCATTTATTTAAATGCTAATAAGGGGAAATCCACTACCTCCCAAGGCAGTATATTCTAGTTGGGGTCCACTCAAGCCTAAAGTTCTGCGCTTTGGAGTCACATCAAGTAAGTCAAATCTCTCTCTCTTTTTTTTCCTCCTTTTGCATTTTTTGGTGAGGCAATCAGGATTAAATGACTTGTTCAGGGTCACACTACTGGTAAGTGTTAAATGAGGCTGGATTTGAACTCAGGTTCTCCTGACTCCAAGGCCAGAGCTCTATCCACTGCACCACCTAGCTGCCCCTAAAACTTCTCTTTCTAAGAATAACCCTTCAACTGCTGGAAGATGGATCTCATGTGCTGCCTGAGTCTCTTCCGCAGATAAGGATTTTATTGTGTGTTACTGTTATATTTCAGGCAATTTGATGTGATGCATGCTATATTTGAATCTGCAGAATAATGAGCCATGTCTAATGACCCAGAATAATGGATTCTTTTGTATTTGAACTAATCCTTAATGTTGGCTGGTTACTTAGGGTGCTTTCCATCCGGCTAAGCTGGTGAGGGACAGGCTTTAAGGGACATGAATGCCTGGCACACAGCTGAGTAGGAACGGGTATTAAGGCCAAATGAAGGGTTATTCACCAGCAGTTCTTATGGAGAGAACTTAGTGTGCCTGCACAGGAGCCAATCTGTCAAATCTAACTTTGGAAGAGATTGTGGGACTATAGGAGAACATGAAAACACAGAGAACTGGTAAACCCGGTGTGGCAGGAGTGTGTGAGTCTCTCCTCAAAAGGTATTTATGCACATTTAATGCTCAAATCAATCTGAAAGGAAGGCCCTTCTTGGGCCAATATCCTTGCCAACAGATTTTAAATCTGGAATTAATTTTTTCTACTTAATGTTTCAAAGTGGCAAAAAACGGTGATGGCATATTTTTCTTCCTTACTAGCAATGAAAAGTTGACATGAATTCTTATGACAGCAGGTGGAACAGCTCTATGCATAAGACTGGAAAACACCCAGAGAGTTTTTAGGGCTACGGTGATTTTTAGGGAAAAACTACAGCTGAAGGTTGGACCTGTTTTGGAGAGGAGAAAGGCTTATGTGGAGCTGTTTTAAGGTACATGTATGTGTAAGAAAGGAAACGTGAAAGCCAGTGGTTTATTACGTTTTCTTCTAAATTCAGGCTTAGGTTACTACATAACGGTAGGTCTATAGTCAAGCAAATTCCCTAGTCTCATGTTTATTTGGTGTCACTCTCTCTGTTGAAATCTCATCCAAAACTCACTTCCCTCAAGTAAGCATTCCCTGGATAAACCTTATTCCATTCTGATCATTGACCACACTGCCTCACTAATCCATCCTTTACAAAGAGCTACCAAATGGATCATTCTACTGTACGTGTCATAGCATGTCATCCCTTTGCTCAAAAACCTTCAATGGCTCCCTATTGCTTTCAGGATAACATATAAGCTCTTTAACTTGACATTTAAGGTTCTCTACAGACTGGCTCCAACCTGCTTTTCTAGTTTTATTTCATAGTATTCTTCTATACTTTATAGTTTAGTCACTCTGGATTATTAGCTATTCCCTTAATTTCTCTTGCCCACATTTGTGAAAGCCATCCATCAACCCTAACAAATAGACATTGTTGGCTAGACCACAGTTTCTATGAAAAAGATCTGGGGGTTTAAGTGGACTGCAAGATCAAACTGATTAAATCACACGTCATTAAGAGAAGCATAGAGCCCAGAATGAAGGAGTCCTTCTCTGCTCTGGCTAGATCACAAATAGAGGCAATTTTAAGTATCATGTTTTAAGAAGAACATGGACAAGATGTAGATTTCCATGAGAGAGAAGCAATCAAGATGGCAAGGGACGTTATGATCATGCCTTACAATGTTCAGTTAAAATAACTGGGAAGTTTAACCTACAAAAAAGAAGAGTGGTGGGGCTGGGAGTCTGGAGGGTAGAGTATAGAGTGTAGACATCTCTAAGCATTTGGAGGACTATCATATCTAAGGGGAGTTATATTTGCTTTACTAGGTTCCAGAGGGCAGAATTAGAAGCTTCGGAGCATGTCTTAAGGAAATACTTCCTTACGATTAGAGGGGCCCCAGGGGAAAATGGATTATTAACACAGGAGAGAATGAGTTCCCCCTCCCTAGAGGTCTTCAATTGGAGGCTGGATGGCCTTTTTTGAGAAAAGTGTAGAAAGGACTTATTCTTACATGGGTTTGGGCTGCATCAGGGTTCTTACCCTGGAATCTACAGACTCCTGGATTTCACAAGGTCCATGAACTTGGGTAGGAAAAAAAATTAGTCTTTATTTTCACTAACCTCTAACTGAAATTTAGCATTTCCTTCAAGAATGGATGTAGGCAACAAACCACAGTAGTAGTATTAGTAGTACTCATGACTTTGTCAATAGAAATTACTGATAATTTTATATAACAATATAGCTGTTGCAGATATCTTGAAATATCAAGGAGGTACTAACTTATAGGTACTCTAATAAAGGCTAATTAGTTGCAACTAACAGACTTCTTTTGAACTTTTGACCATTTCAAAAGAAGCTCTGAGCTCCCAAGTTTGCTTTATAATCTAAGAATATATTGAATTACAAGTTCATTTAATGGCAAATTAATAGCAGCCTTAGCTATTCAGAGGATATTTAATTTATACATTACTCAACCCTGCCCCCCCCATCATTTGTCCATTTTACTGCTCACTGGCGTCTCTTCCAAAGGAAAATGGGCGGAGGATGGGAGAGAGGGTAAAATTCTAAATTTACATACTAAATTGTTGGCTGCTCTAATAAACGGTTCATTGGGATATTAGCCTAAGAATATTATCATCTATAAGTTTTATTTAGTCAAAGTCTCTCTTGCCTAAAGTATTTTTTTAAAGAATGTTTTCATTTTATTTTTCTCAATTACATGTGAAAACAATTTTTAACATTCATTTTTTAAAAACAATTTTTGAGTTCCAAATTTCCTCCCTCTCCCCCATCCCCACCTTGAGAAGGCTAGTACTTTGATACAGATTATATATGTGCAGTCATGCAAAACATTTTCTTATTAGCCATGTATTGCCAAAGGTATTTGAGAAATGACTAAATAACTAGACAAATAGATACTCTTCCCTTTCCTAATTATGCCTAAGAAGATGATGGGGATTTTTAGCTGGGGGTGGTGGTAGGAAAGAGGGGTTAGTGGCATAGGGGATAAAATGCTGGGTCTGGAGTTTTGAAGACCTGAGTTAAAACCCAGCCTCAGTCACTTACTAGCTGTGTGACCCTGGGCAAGTCACTTGACTTCTGTTTTTCTCTGTTAACTTATGTGTCAGATGGGCATAATAATACACCTCCTTATTGTGAGTTATTGTGAGACTCAAATGAGATAATAACTTTAAAGTGTTTAGCACAGTACCTGGCACATCGTTAAGTGCTACAGAAATGTCAGCTACTCTTACTCTTATTATTACAGTAAGCTACAAACCTAATGAGTTCCAAGGCTCGGAGTGCAGAGCTACAGATTATCAGCATCACCAATGACTTCTTCTCCTTGTGGTTCCTTCGAAGTTTGGCCCATTTGGGACAGACTGTGAAAAAAAAAATCAAGATTATCATTTTAAGTATAGTAGACCAAGGTTAAATAGGCAGTTAGGGGCTCAGACTATAAATCTGATGCTCTTTACACATCACCTTACTTCTCTCACCTAGCCTGAACCCTCATTTTACAGATAAGAAAAAAGAAAACCCTAAGGTCCAGAGATGAAGATTTATGTCATGAAGCAAATCTGTCCTGTGCTTTTTAATAAATAAAAAAGAGAGGCAGCCCCTTCCTCCCTCAATATGTTTCCTCCCATTTCATAACAATGACCATATAAACAAAGACAAAATAAAACTTAAATTTAGAAACTGAATAATGTTATTACTGAATTTATACTTAAAAATAAAATCTGTTTAATTATCTAAGATAATTTTGTTTTTAAAAAGTAGCCTTTTAACTTATAATTTCAATTTAATGACTATTATGAATTAATGATCAAACACTGATTTGATTAATAATCAAATAAATAATTGTTATTCAGTTTAATTTAATTATTAAGCATCTACTAAGTGTGGAGGCACTGTTTTAGGTGATGGGAATGTGAAGACAAAAGGAAAATCTGTTCCTGTCCTCAAGGAGCTTCTATTCTATTGGGGAGAAATAACATATATACTAATAAGTAAACACAAGATAATTTGACAAGGGAGAGAAGACAAACAACTGGAAGGAATCCAGAAAGGCTTCCTGTTGGAGTTGGCAACTGAGGTAAACTTCATAGGAAGCTGGGGAATTGAACAGGGAGAAATATGGAGTTAGTAGGCAAGGGGGACAACCTGTGCAAAGGAATACAGGCAGGACATAAGGATAGAGAAGAGTTTCCTTGAAATAATCAGGATTGACTTATTTAAACACAAAAGATTATCTCTTCAACAGAATAATGACAATTTGGTAAAGCCAAAGGATATTGGAGTTACTTACTTTGCTTTAGATACGAAGAAAGGCTATGAGACAGATCATTAGCTGGGAGGAAACAGGAGTCTACAAACATAAAAAAAAGATGTTTTTATAGAGAATTTTAACAACAATACTAGCTAAAAATGATAATAACTAGTATATGAACAATAAGATGGTGGACCAGTTAGATCCTCATGACCTTTCAAATCTCTCCAAAATAGAAATTATACACCAAAGATAAAGCAACTTTGGCTATTTCCATGGTCTAGGGTACCCAGAACCCAAAAGTTAAAAAAAAAGAAAAAACAACCACCCTAAGCCCAGGAATGGACCCTTACTGACCCTGAGCTTGCTCAGTGCCCCTCCCCCACCTCCAGCAGCAAGGCCATATCAGCAGACCCAAGGACACAATACAGGCTTACATCAAGAAACCCCCCTACACCCTGTCCTCCCTCCCTTTTCAGGGCCATGGAGACCCTGGCTCTAGGCCAGGGCTTGCTTGGGCCTCAACAAGGGAAAACCGGGGTATTAAATGAGAAGAGGGGATCGAGGTGAGGGGAAGAGAACCAGTGGGAACAGGGTCATCTTAAAAAAAAAAAGATGAAAGTAACCGAAGGAACATAATACTGTGTTTACAGAAGAAAATGAAAAGCTTCGGCACAGACAATATTAATGCATCTAGGATAGGAAGGAAAGTAGTAAAATGCAGAGAAATCTTTTTTATCCATTTTCTCTGATATGTAATTGATGAAGACAGAGAAGAATGCAAAGATTTATATGAACTGATGCAGAGTGAAGTAAGTAGAGCCAAGAAAACAATATACACAGTGGGGTAGCTAGGTGGTAACAGTGGATAGAGCACTGACCCTGGATTCAAGAGGACCTGAGTTCAAATTTAGCCTCAGACACTTGACACTTACTAGCTGTGTGACCCTGGGCAAGTCACTTAACCCCATTGCCTAGCCAAAACAACAAAAAAACAAACAAACAAAAAAAACCCCCAATATATATAGTGACTACAACAATGGAAATGGAAAGAATAACCACACACACAAAATCAAAAGTCAGTATAACAAAATTAAAAAGATCAAGTGGGACTCAAATGAAGACAGATGAGAGGACACCCACAACCTACTCCTTTGTGGATGTGGGAGGTCCACAGGTGTTACACACTGTGCATGTTTTCAGACTTTTTAAAAATATCAATCAATTGGGCTCCTTTTTCTCTCCAAAAAATACAATTTGTCATAAAGGATGGCTCTCTGGGAGGGGAAGAGGGATGGATACATGGGATACATTGGTGATGTAAGAAACAGAAATTATCAATAAAACTTATTAATATAATCAGTATATTTTATAATGTCATTATATATAATACATAATAATATAATTAATATATATTAATATAATAGCTGTAAGCCTTAAAATAATGCTTTAAGGTTTGTAAAACATTTTGCAGATATTATCTCATTTTATTTATGTTATCCTCATTTTACAGATGAGGAAACTGAGGCTAAGAGGTTAACTGACTTGCTCAGGGTTACACAGCTAGGAAGTGTGTGAGGCTAGATTTGATCTCAGGTCTTCCTGACTCCAGGTCCAGGGCTCTACCATTGTTCCACTGCGCTGCCTCTAGGCAACACAGTGAAATTAAATCAAAGGCTGATTGGATGAGCTTAGTCAAAATTGGTAAAATGTTAACAAAATGAAAAGCTTATTAAGGTGAACCATCACTCTGGATTTTGGGGGTGGTACTGGCTTTTTGGATATAAAAACCCAGTTGAATCCTTCACACATTTGACCATCAATCACTTGAAACTAGTGGGACAGAAAAGAGATACTTGTATCGTATATCAGGCCAATGAACCGTCTATATTTCTTGAAAATCAATACCATATTCATCAACTTTTCCCCATTTCCCAGTCTCTAATTTCTTACTATAAAATATGAGAAATTTTTTTTTCCTTATGTAATCTAAGTGCAATTCTCTCCCTATGGAGGGTTACAGGAATAATAATCACAATTCATATTTAGAATGCTTTAAGGTTTATAAAGTGCTTTCTTCAATAATGATTCTGTGGGAATAGGTTAGTGAAGATATTATTTCCCCATTTTACAGTTGGAAAAACTGAGGATTTCAGGGACTGAATGACTTGCCAATGGTCACAAGGCTAAATGAATATTTGAGGCAAGACTTAAATTGACCCATCCTCCTTTTCACTATGTCATGATATGTCTCCTAGGAAAATAAATTCCTTCCTTCCTTCCTTCTGTCTCAAATGAATGGCTATTTGCCTAAGCAACTTTCAGGCAGGGTAGAGTAGTAGATGGAATGCTGGACTTGTAATCTGTGAAACCTAGGTTCAAATCCTCTCCCTAAATAGCCATATGGTCTTGGGCAAATTCCTTTACTTCTGTGGGCCCCAGTTTCCTCATTTATCTAATGGGAGAATTGGACAAGGAGGCCTTTAAAGTTGCTTTCAACTCTAAATCTTTAATCCTCTTCCGAATCACTCTACAGTTTTGGAAGATAATTAAAACCCACCACATTTCTCAAGAGTATAGTTAGAAAAATGATTAACCCTGAAATTTATTAGAATAACCAAATATTTCTTATATTCCTATTTGTCAGATATTAACACTTTTCAATGTATAATGCTATTTTAAAAGGCACTGGCCCCGGAGTCAGGAGGACCTGGGTTCAAATCCAACCTTAGACACTTGACACTTGCTAGCTGTGTGACCCTGAGCAAGTCACTTAACCCCGACTGCCTCACCAAAAAAAAAGAAAAAAAAAGATAACAGTACCTGTAATACAGGGTATGTACAAATTCTGACAACCGAATCTCATATATGACATGCGTAGTACAATAGAGATATAATATTTTAGCACGTCCCTTCTTTCATAGGTTTTCCTACGTTTGGTCTGGTTACCAAATGTCCGTCTTTCTTTCTCACTCTCTGAAGCATTTACTTGCTCTCTTTTCTTGGCCCAGTGACTGTACCTGTGCAGTAATACGGGCAGGAGGGCAGCATATTGGATGGGTCAGAGTTAGGATGCCCTCAGTGTCAGCTCAGAGGGAGATGTGTGGAGGGACCTAGGGATCTGTGCTTGGCCTCAGGCTGCTGAACAGTGTTCTCAGTGATTTGAGTAGAGGTGACACGTTTCTCATCTTAGCAGATAACACAAAACTGCTAAAGCTGTGGATGATGGAATCACAATCCCAAAAGTTCTTGCAAAGCTAGAACATTGGGATGAATTGAACAGGATGAAATTTAATGGGGGGTAAGCATAGTGTCTTAAACTTGGTTTCAAAAAGACAACTTCACAAGAATAAAATGGGATGAAGTATGGTTAGATGGCAATTTATCTGGAAAAAAAGACAAGGTATTTAGCAGCCTATAAGCTCAATATGGGCAGCTAAGTGGTGTAGTGGATAGAGCACCACGCCCGGAGTCAGGAAGACCCATCTTCCTGAGTTCAAATCTGGCCTGAGACACTTACTAGCTGTGTGACTCTGGGCAAGTCACTTAACCCTATTTGCCTCAGTTTCCTGAGTCAGATATGACTGAAAAAACAAGCTCAATAAGAATCAGTCAAATGACACAGCAGACAAAATAGCTAACGCAATCTTAGGCTGCGGATGAATAGCTTCCAGGAGTAAGGAGTGATAACGATACCTCTTTTCTCTGTCCTGTCTCTGTCAGATCATACCTGGAGCACTGTGTTGAGTTCAGTGTGCCCCAGCTCAAAAAGGACATGGTTTAGTTGGAGAGCAACCAGATGACGTAGGGGCTGAGGTACTAGCACAGTTAGTAAGTAAGCACGTATCGCTTCTGGGAGCCAAGACGGCAGAGTAAACAGTAAGTCACTCTCACCTTCCCTTATGGACCTTGAAAAACTCAGAAAATATTGCCCTAGGAAAAATCTTGGAACAGTGGAGCCAGCAGAAAGATGGGGTGCAGCAGTCTTTTACCTCAAGGGGCTACAGGGATTAATGGGAAAGTTCTCTCTTGCTGTGGCTGATGGAGACTAGTACCGGACAGGAGGAGCCCCAGAAAGCCAGTGGCAAGCCCCCATCTCAGCAAACCAGCAGGAGATCTTGAGCCCCAGGGTGGTGGAGCAGGCAAGCTCCAACACCAGGACCACCCCCTCTCCCAATCCTGTATGCCTTGGCACAGAAGCCAGCTCGGAGAATTACTACATGCATCAGCAGATAGGCATCCACCAGCAGCTGAACTTACCCACGCTCTAGGACAGCCCTGGGTAAGAAGGCAACCTCCAGTGGCCTAATCATACTCACCACCCCACCCCATACCACAAGCTTCAGTGTAACCTTGGGGAAATGCAGAAAACCCCACCTGGCCTTGGCACACACCAGCCACCACCACCAGCTCCAGTTCAGCATCAGATCCCTACGGCCTCCAGCTGCCAGCACCTAAGGCCCCAGCACACAAAGCTGGTAACCAGGCCCCTAGACCCCAGTACAAGAAGCATGGGACAGTGTCCCCTGTGCCCCAGAAGCAGAGATCAACCTTAAAGGCCAGAAGAAAGGCAAACACCATAAGCACAAAGCAACAAAGAAAAACAATGACCATGGAGAATTATTACGGTGACAGGGAAGATCAAAACATAAATTCAGGAGAATACAACATTGTAAATATACCCACATCTGAAACCTCAAAAGGGAATATGAACTGGTCTCAAGCTCACAAAGCCTTCTTGGAAAAGCTCAAGAAGGATTCTAAAAGTCAAGTAAGAGAGGAAGAACTGAACAATTTCTTTAAAAATACAACTGACAAAATGGAAAAAAAAAGTACACTGAAGAAAACAACTCCTTAAAAAGTAGAATTGGCCAAATGGAAAAGGAGATACAAAAGCTAGCTGAAGAAATGATTAGAATTGGGCAAGCGGAAGCTAATGACTCCATGGGACATCAAGAATCAGTCAAACAAAATCAAAATGAAAAATAGAAGAAAACATTTATTAAGTGCATGATATATTCCAGGCACAATGGTAAGCACTGGGGATACAAAGAAAGGCTAAGAGACAGCCCTGCCCTTCAGAAGCTCACAATCCAATG